TTACTGCTCAAGCTCACATCGTACGGTCTAGAGACACACTGACGGCTGAAAGAGTAACACTCAGAGTCTAAAGCGACTCAGAGTCTGTGCGCTGAAAAATATTTCTGTTAACGTCAGTGAAGTCAAGAGTCAGTATACTAAAATTGCATTGATATTTCAAGTGGAAGAACCTTAAAAACAAAAACCAATAAGGATTGTAAAAGGGCAGTATTTAAGTCATAATATACATGTCTGTTCACTTGTGTTTACACATGGTCAATGAACAAACCGCATTCGGGAGTCAGACAGGCAGTGTTTTGCAGACTTATCCTTCCATCTGAAGCAGGATCGAGCCGTACACTCAGCTATCGTTGCCGAAGACAGTGTTGAGCTGCTGGGTGACCCTGATGAAGGTGGTCCTGCGGCTCAGCTCCTTCAGCTTGCCTGCCCCAACATAGGTGCAGGTGGAGCGGACCCCTCCCAGGATATCTCGTATTGTCACCTCCACCGGACCTTTGTAAGGAACTTCGACTGTCTTCCCCTCTGACGCTCTGGAGGCAGAACACACACACAGAGGAGACAGTGTAGACATGGTACACTCTGTACACACCAGGGCTTAATACAAACTATTTTTTCCCCCTTATACACCAAAGTAAGTGTGATCCTGACCTGTACTCAGCCACGCCTCCTGCATGTCTCTTCATTGCCGTGTCGGAGCTCATCCCATAGAACAGCTTGTATTTTTTGCCGTTTTTCTCAATAATCTCGCCCCCGCTTTCCGTGTGGCCAGCGAGCATGCCGCCCAGCATCACAAAGTCCGCTCCAGCACCTGAGGGTCACAGAAAAAAAGAGCCAAATGACTGCTGAGAGGTCTTGTTTTAATAGAAAAAGAAAGAAAAAGTGCTATTTTGAAAATACTTAAACTTACCAAAAGCCTTTGAGACATCTCCTGGGCAAGTACATCCCCCATCCTGTGTGAAAGAGAAGAGAGGGAATGAAACAGAACACCATGTTATGAGTGTGAGTGTGTTTATCACAGCTGCTTGAGTAACAGCCTGGAGACAAAAGATAGAGTTGCACATTCTCAGGGTGAAATACACAAAAACAAGTCACACTGGCCTTGGGGAGAGAAGAGTCGATGGAATTCCACAAAGTAACACGAGAAATTTAAAATAGATGAATGATTTCTGTCCTAGGTCTCAGTTTAAAGGAACAGAGAGTTAGATGAGAAAATCTATAGCACTCTCTACCACTTAGCTTAGCATAAAGACGGGAAACAACTAGCCAGACTGTGTCTGAAGGTAACAAATGTGACCTAACTACACCTCTTAAGCTCACTATTTAATACGGTATATCTTGTTTGTTTAATCCAAACAGTACAAAATGACAATCTGTGCTTTTTTCATGGTTGATTTTGTTCCACATACAACAAAACTCACTAAAAATCACTGCAGCCAGCCAAGAAATGGTCCCGCACACAGTGAGCTTTAGAGACGCTCATAGGCTCTGAATTTGTTCATTTTGGATGGACAGAGCTGGGCTTGCCATTTCCCCATGTTTCCAGTCTTTATGCTAAGCTAAGCTAACTGGCTGGAGCTTCATATTGAGCACAGGCAGCAAGTGGTATTAATCTTCTCTCTTATCTAACTCTCAACAAGAAACCAAATAACAATATCTCCAGGAAAGGTCAAACTACTCCTTTTAAATTAATTCTAGACAACAAGAACTGTGTAGAAATTGTGAATAAATCACTGGATTATCATAAGAGACTCACAGAGATGATGTGACCACCCAAGCCATGAGCTGCATCCGCACACTCAATCACAGCACTGAGCTGGGGGTAGCCCACCCCTGTCTTCTTGCGGGTGGTACACACCGAGCCTGGAGAGGAAGACAGAGGGGTAAGAGATGACTCGTAGGATTTGTAGTCTGCAGTCAACGATTTGCAAACAGGAAACTGCATCTGCAAGCATCGTCTGTGGTGTGTTTGAGCTCTTTATATGCCAAATGAATGGGGGTTGCTACAAATATTCAACCAGGAAAGTCTGTTAAATGTATTTTGATATAAATAAGACTGTTGGAATTCCCCAGACTCCCCCCTGTGGTACACCGAGCATGTTATTTTCAAACACAGCTCAATAAATTGCCTCATTACATACAGTACGGTGTGATGCATTTAAAGGTGTCATTGATGCTTTCTGTGTAAAGAAATAGGGACAGTGTTCACGTAATCTTGAGGTGATGATGTGATTGTGTGTTACGCTGTGATCACCTGGTCCAATGCCGACTTTGATGATGTCAGCCCCAGCCAGGATCAGCTCTTCTACCATCTCTCCTGTCACCACGTTTCCTGCCTGAGCAAAATAAAAAATAACAGTAAAAAATGTTTTACTGATTACGTATTAAAAGAAGTGTTAACAAGTGAACATCCATTTCCTACTGACCATTATAGTGTGAGAGGGGAACTTTCCCCTGACGTCTTTGACAAAGTGAACAAAGTGTTCGGAGTAACCGTTCGCCACGTCCACACAGATATACTGCAGCTGTGGCACTGCCGCCAAGATGGCCGAAATCCTGTCAAAGTCCCCATCACCGGTCCCTGTGCTGACTGCTACACTCTGGGAGACGAACAGAGTAAAGAGAGAGTTGTGTTATAATAAATGCCACCATTAATAATAATTAAATAAAAGGGTTACATAATAATTAACACTTTGAGTACCTCCACGCATTCGGGATGCTTCGCCGCAAACTCCACCCAGTCGTCCACGGAGTAATGTTTGTGAATCGTGGTGAAGAGAGTGAACTAGTGGAAGAGACAACACATTCTAGTTCACAAGTGACGTCTGTGGACAGTGCGATGACATCTAATGGCCACTAGGGGGCAGCTTTTCTAACTCTGAGTGAATGAACAAATGAAAAGTTAATGAATATATGAGTGAGTTTTTATTTTTATTGTTGTGGTGGTTAGTATCTTGGTGTGGCTGAAAAGACCAAGAAAGGGACCCTGAGTTACACACTAGCCACCAATACTTTAACCTACTACAAGTAGTTTTTAACTGGTTATGAAACAGTCTTGATTTAACACTAAGGCCTCTACATGACCTACTTCAGCACACCAGACCATCAGAGAGAATATTATTTCTATTATATATTTCTATATAGTTTTTCTTAACGCCTGCCATCTTGACAGATTCGGTCAGATTCCCCTTGAAATCAATGAAATGAGGTGGGGTGAACACCACATTTGTCCACAGGTGGCCGCCAGAATCAACACAAAATGAAAGCTCCTAGTTGCTGCTTTAAAGTCTGGAAAAAAGCTTGATCACTTCTCGGTTTTAATCTGGTATTTGGCGGAGGAAAATAGGCTCTGTCCTCATTTATCAGTCTGCTGTGTAATAAAGGGATTATTAAGCATTATAGAGTTCACTGCTTAAATTAAACTGAGGCTCACCTAGTTGTGTTCAGACTATTTTAGGTGTTTTTCCTTCCGACAAAGTGATTAACTGATCACATTAAAATAGATTCTAACCCTATGTGCTCTATGAAGCTTTTTGTGAAGCTGATGTGACGCATAACCTACCTGGTGCAAAGCCAGGGCCATCTCAAAGGTCCCCACAGTGTCCATGTTTGCAGCGACGATGGGGATCCCTCTGTAGCTGCCCTTGGAGTTCCTGAAAGAGAAGCTCCTCATGAGGTCCACCTGGTTGAGGAAGGACAACAAGACATAATGTCTCATAAAATGTGTGAGAAAACATCATTATAACGAAGAACGGCAGTGCTGAAGAGATGAAGACCCCCAAAAATTTCACATTCTCATCATTTTAATAATTTTTTGGGGGTGAAAATTCAATTTGTGATGCAAAAATGTTTAAATCTCATGCATCCTGCTGTAAACATATATCTGAATGTCTCCCTGTAGAATAAAATTGAACCGTACATTTCCATATCAGCATTATATATTGGACATTTAAAACCACAGTCACAGGGTAGCAGGAGCCTATAGTTTGAGCTTTAATAACCCCCAAATCCCTCATGAGGACGTGCGCTCACTCAAATAACCTTCACAGGGACGACAAAAGGCTCAGATAGTGGAAACATCTGTATTTAAGGTCAGCCCGGTTTCACACGTGGGAATGAATCCACATCTGTATACCCTACCTCGCTCCTGGACTTGAGTGTGCTCCGCTTTGGACGGAGGAGCACATCCTTGAAGTCCAGCTTGATGTCATTCTCAATGCGAGGCATTCTGGGGAGAGAGAAAGGGATGGCGCAGGTAGTGAAAGGGAAGTCTGTCCTGGAATGTGAAATCTGTGAAAGGGGAGGGAGGTCAGAGTTCAGGAGGATTGCTTTTGTGCCTTGTCTCATTTTCCTCCCTTCACACACACACACACACACACACACACACACACACAATATATGATCATAAAAATGTCATTAACTAAACGCAGGCGTGGTGCATCATTCAAAAGAGAAGTCACAATTAGCCAGAACTGTAATTACTCCTTATTAAAATGTAATAAGTTTATCTTTAGCTCGCTGTCGGTTGCAAAAAAAGCTTACACGCTACTGGAAATGCTACCGCTACTGCTATTCACACTAAAACCACAGCACAAAGATCAGAACTGCGCTGCTTACTTGTGTCCAAATTCAAGGTTACATCGGTTTTAAAGTGTCACAATTGAGCCCATTTGACTGTCACTGCATGCGGTTTATCTGAGCACACGGTATCAATCACTCAACGAATGGATTAGTTTATAGATTTTAGCTAAATAAAGTAGTTACCTTTCGGAAAGTATGAGTGATTTGGTCCTGTGCCGCTGTTTCCTTTTCCCACTGGAAGAAGCGGGGGAAGTGTTACGAGGGCGGACACCAACTGACAAGCCAGTTTGTAGTTTTTAACGGGGTTTAGGTAATAGGCCATACGAGGGAGAAAACTACAAATGTGAGACTCGCTTTACGCCACGTTGCGCTGGTGTCGTAAGGGTTGTTTTAGTCAGCCAAGAAACACATTGCGGGTCGCTTTTGGTTGGGGCAACACTCACACCACTTTAAAATATATATTTTAAGGAATATTATAGGTTTTTTCGGGACGATGAATGAAGCAAATGCGAAGACCGAAATTATTAAGCGGAAGTGGAACCGTTGACACGCAGACAAGGAGGAGGTGGGATTCACTGAGGAACACAGGAAGCAACCATTGAATTTATTTATTATTTGTTTTGGGAAGAATATCGAGTTTCCTCACCAAAATACGGATTTTATCGTTTTGAAGTCACATCTGAACTGTACATATAATCCCACTACAGTTTATTGGAGAACAACAAGTGGACAAAGATGCTGATTAAAGTGAAGGTAAGTCAAAGCAAACACAACGATGAGCTCCTTGTTATTATTACTTACTCACCGTGTCCAGTCTCATAATGTGCTCGACAATAACCTGACATTGTGTTCATTTTTATCTCAGACACTCACAGGCAAAGAGATAGAGATTGACATAGAGCCCACAGATAAGGTATAATACATTATCTTTTACCTCCTTTGTGCTGTGTGCTGATAATGAGCTGTTCATCAGTGTGTGTGTGTGTGTGTGTGTGTGTGTGTGTGTGTGTGTGTGTGTTTACATTTATTCCCATCCAGGTGGAGCGGATTAAAGAAAGGGTGGAGGAGAAAGAGGGGATCCCTCCGCAGCAGCAGAGGTTGATCTACAGTGGAAAACAGATGTAAGATTAACAAACCTTCTTTTTACTTCTTCATCCTTAAAGGGGTAAAGTTGAGGATATTCACAAAAAGCACTGTATGCATTTGTTTCAAAACGGCTGTATGTAATTTAAAACTTTCACGATATCCTGACAGATAATCTGTGAAACAATCAGGTTCCTCTGGATCCATGATCCTGGATGCATTTGCAAGAATCCACCAGGCCTGAATAAAAACAACCAATCAGAGCTGAGAAAGATAGTTTATTGTTGAGTTTCTTTCTCGTCTCTGATTGGTTGTTTTCATGCAGACCTGGACAGATTGTTTGTCTCGTGTACTACTGTCAGAACAGTAGGTACCTACTTTAGTTTAAAGATAATTGCACATACTGTACACCGTCCTGGGGCTGTAAATACCAACAGGTGCACCATAATGTGTATAATCTACGGCTGAATATAGTGCCAACCACATACGCACTATTTACTCCTGTTTTAAGATTTATGTCTTTGGTAGGAAATAATGTGTTAGGCTGAATGCCACTTAAAGATACATAAAACAGAATAAACCTATAATAAAATACAGTAAATAAACAATATACATCGAGTGACAGCGAAACTTAACAGAATACACCCAGAACATGAGCGTCCAACCCAAACATCCCCATCGTCACCCACCTGTTTTATATGAGAAAATATAGAATAACACCAGCCTTATGCTTAAACTAGTTCAGGAAGATGTTGCAATCCCCTTAGGAAGGTTGAAAGAAGCTTGTGTGTGTCTATTGTAGACAAAATAATTTTAATAGAGCGATTTCTGCTGTCTGATGTCTTGCACGCTGCATCCTCTTTGTCTTTATTCTCAGGAACGATGAGAAAACAGCGGCCGACTATAAAATCCAGGGGGGCTCTGTTCTCCATCTGGTGCTTGCTCTGCGAGGAGGACAGGCGCTCCACTCTCCCAGAAGCCTGTACTCCAAGCCTGCGTGGTAGCCGTCGCTTGGAAACATGCCTTAGCTTTTGCGATGCCTACACTGAGCGGATACACCGGAAGACACGAGGGCCACCGGTTGTGGAGTCACCTGACGGGGATTGTAGGCAACACACAGAGCCGTTGGTAGAAAGAGTTAGGGTCTACTTGTTGCAGCCAAAAATATGCTGTAGGACAAACACTTCCCCCCTCCCCCCCTACTGTAACATTGCTCTGAGACCCTTCACACGTTAAAGCCCTAGCAGAGAAGGCAAAGTTACTCTCAGAATTAAACTAAACAAAAGATTTTACAACCCAGAGCTAATTTGGCTGCTACATTTAAGCCTCTGTCGCTTTCTGTGGCTCTGCATGCAAGCACAGTGTTCATCTTTGTTCCACTGATGATAATACAGAGATTACTGTAGCTTGGAGATTCTTCCAGGAAAGCCTATCCTTGGACCGTAGCCCCTTCGCCTTCAGAGCGCGACACAATTTAAGGTTTACTTTTTCTTCTTCATCCATGTTTTATTCTGTTCTCTACCGATTGCCCACTTATTTTTCTATACTGATACTGCGTGTATCAACGTATCAAAACACATTTTCTTGTGTGGAGCACTCGTGTAGCTCAGGTTGGAAAGATGGACAACAGTGTGTTTTAAAAAGTTTGACATTTTTCATTAACACATATTCGCTTTCTGGCAGAAAGAAGATAGATACCACTTTCATATTTGTCTGTTAAATAAAAAGCAACAGCTGGCTTAGCTCTGTCCAACAGAAGCAAAATCCTCCTACCAGCAACTCTAAACCTCACTTACTGACAACTTATATCTCTTTAATCTGTCCAAAAACCAACATTTAAAATGGCTGTTGGCTGTTGCAAGATATAATTAGTTAATTAGTGAGCTTGGTAGGTACATTTTGTTACCATTGGATACAGCCGGTCTAGCTGTTACTGGCTGCTGGTTTGAGCGTTATCTTTAATGGACAGAGAATGATAAAAACAAATGTGCTATCGACCTTCTCATCTAACTCTCCGCCATAAAGCGAATTAGAGTATTTCTCAAAGATGTCAAACTATCACTGTTAGGGGAAACTTTCTGGGTCAGGAAAACCTCCTGCCACTTATCTTAAATCATGTACCACAGCGTTTGCTTTATACATGCTTCATAAGTAGACTGAGTGTGTCCATTCAGGAGGATAATGTTTTATATAATTTCACATGAATTTAATTTGTTGAGATTAATTAGTTTTTGTGCTGATTGCACATTTTACTGTTATGAAGACAAGGATCGTGCCAGCTGTGGTCTTGTCTGACAATGGCTTCAGTTTACACACCGGTAGATATTGTTAGGTTTGTTTTTATGTTGCTGTGTCAGTGCCCATATGTACAGAATTGACCTATGCTGTGGATTAGTTTGTCAGTAGAATAAACTCATGTGGAAAATGCCTCACTTTTGCTTTTTGTGTTCCTTTATAAATTCATTTAAAACAGCTGAACAAAGCAGTCGTTAAAAGTCTTATTCACTTACGTGTGTTTTTTTTTTTTATTCTTGTCACACACTCGCCACCAATATGTACATTTACATTTTCTTAACACAAAAATAGACTTAAGTTTGAGAGATGTCAGTCACAAAAATGTCTCTCAGTGTTGTAGGCAGACTGCAAACTGCAACTCAAATTAGAGACCAATGTGTACACAAAGTGATATAGAAAGAACATTATTCTCGGGAAGAGAAGAATCACACATGATGAGTGTTACGACATAGAAAACTTCATATTTCCACCACTTTCACCAGTTTCGGTCTGATTTAAAGCAAGAAGTGGAGTTTGCAGCTTGTTAGGGACCCTTGAGCAGGAAGAAAGTAAAAAAAAAGAAGGGATTAGCTAAACCTTTTTAGATTTTAAGCAGCAATTAAACTTGTGAAGCTCTAAATTGCTGTATCACATGAAGTCGCAGCATTCGTTTTCTGAGGTGGAAAAATTCAGGCCTCATTTATTTATGTACAGTAAGAGTGAGAAATGTGAAATTCAAAAGTTTATACTGTATGTTAAGAATTGAGGAAATGTCTTCTCATTGTTGGAAAATGTGCGAATTTAATCACATGGTTTGAAATGAGTGGAATTAAGACAGGAGCGTTTCTTTTTGAAAAAAATATATAAATGAGGCCCTGAATTACAAATTCAAACATTAGTCAGTGGTTTTTATTTACTAAGAGACAATATACAGACTGTGATATCACCTGTGTATACTGTAAATATACAATAACCGTACAGGCACAAAAACACAATCATTGTACTTGAAAAGACATCCGAGACACCCTGATCCTCTTACAATTTAACAAGAGAAACCTATACAATACTGGCCCAACTTTAATGATACTTTCTGGATATAGTAATTCATGCATGTCTGCCAACGCCTCTTTTTTTGGGGGGGGGGGGTTGCTTGTAAGATTGAGACTCCTGAGGAAATAAATCTCTAAAAGCACCAGTACAGACGTTTAGCAAAGAGGCAATCAGGCAGATCTGTTGAGTTTTCGTGGTCTGGAGGTTTTCGGCAGTGTATGCAAGGAGGAGGCAGTGGGCATGCCCTGAGACACTAATTAAGAGTATAGAGAGACAAAAGAGTACACAATGTGTGTTTATGTGTGCAGGAGTGTTGTTACTATAACATACAGCATAAGTATAGATACATAAGTATTACCAGACACAGAATGGGTTCTTTTAGGGGTGCATGTTCAGTTTCTTTTATGTTTTTTTTTTTTTTTTGCTGGTGCCTGCACTAACATTGCACTAAAATCTCTTCTAGTGAACAGCATGAATCAAAAAATAGTTTTTTCTAATGTAAATCTATAATTTCTACAGACTAAATAAAGAACAAACAAAGAAATGATTTAAACAAAAGCTAGATGGTAAACTACAAAAATACTTCTGCCGCAAAACGACTGTTTTTCACACAGGCATTCACATGTGTCGGTGAAGGGGTTTGCATATCATCGATGCAAATGTGGTGGTGAAAACTATCATGTCTTGCCTAGTTATCCTTTCTAGTCATCTATGTCCATGCAGGACTTGCAGTTTTAACGGGTTCATTATCTGTGTAGTGTCCATACAAGAATCCAAAATTCACACTTTCTTTTTTGTTGCTTCCATAAATGTTAAAAACTTCCCCAAAGTATGAGGATTAACCATTTCTCCAGTCAGAAACAGACTGCAGTGGCACCCAAATACAGAATATAATCTAATTAAGGCAATTAACAAAGAACTGTGCACCATTTACCAGCACATTTACCAATACAAAGCACAGATCACACATCAGCTTTCAGGCTTACACCTCCACGGTCGCAAGAGTAAAAAAAAAAAATAGGTCTAGATGTATATGATGTTGAATAGAAAAAAAACATTACAACAAAGGCAAAATATATAAACAATTATCACAATTACAAAAAACATTTCGGAATCACAGTCACTTTTGAAAAAAACAAAACGGAGTACTTAGTGTACTTTCACGACATGAAATGACTTGATCTGAATCAGATTTTCTGCTTTGACAATCAAAATACAGCTTTGGTGTATTGAACGGATGACAAAGCAAAATTTACAACGTGGCAAAAAAACAAACAAATAAAACAACAAAAAAAAAACAAAGAAAAAGTGATTGCGTAGCCATCACAGTACAGTAAGAGTCTTTAGATCAAAAAAAATAATAATAAAAAGGGATGCTCTTACAGTAGGAGTGTGCAGGGAGTGTGTGGAGGAGGAAGGGGGGGGGAGAAGCAGGATGATGATGAAGAGTAGTAAATGTGTCTGTTTAAGCGTGTACTGAGGAGTTTAAAGGTGCTAACCTTTCTTTATTGCACATTTGAAGAACCCCAAAACAGAGAAGTTTAGGGTTCATATTACCCTAAATATCTTATATACTACATTTGGCACAGAAATTATTGATTGATGAAACCAAATTAAACATATTAACAGATAAAGTGTGGGGGCACGAGTGTTGATCAGTAAATCCACTGCATTGTGTGTTTGCATTGTGTGTTTGAGTGCACCCATGTGTGCGCCTGCATATGTCTGTTATAAAGACGTTTTAGCAGTCCGCTGACTTGTGGTTGTCTCCATCCTCTTTGGACAGAGGAGACCTGGCCTCCTTCATTTCCTCTCCTTCCTCTCCGCTCCCGCTGCTACTGCCTAAATCCGGATAAACCACCACGCAGAACTTCTGGCCCAAGTACGTCATCTTGTCTGGAAGAAGAGAGCCAGAAAGAGTGTTAGGACGGGGGGCAGTGATAGGCTTTCAAATGATATACAACACAGTTTGCATGTTCTGTATGAAGAACTGTAGTTTTTACTTGGATACACAACTTGTTGGAACATTTTGGCTAATAAACAGATGATGCATTTTTCAAAATAAAGACAAATATTTAAAATATAATCATGTTTCATACACATGTCATATTTTAAAATCAATAACTATGTTACATTTTAGGAAATATAAATATATATAGAGTTAGAAAATATCAGTACCACTGTCATGTGGAGCGAGAACCAGGAGGCGATTAGCTTAGCTTAGCATAAAGACTGTAAGCAGGGGGAAACAGCTAGCCTGCCTCCTGGCTCTACCTCCACACAGACATGAGAGTGGCATCCATCTTCTCATCTAACTCTTGGCAAGAAAGCAACTAAGTGTATTTCCTAAAAAAAATACATTTCACCACTGATAGAGAAATCTTCCCTCAAACAACTGTTCCGCATTAAGTTAACTTACTAACGAAGGCGTCAAAGCACTGTGGCTTGTTGTCCCAGTAGACTCCCAGGAAATAGACGGGGACGCCAGTCAGCATGATGGCCAGGCCGATGCCGCACACCACGGGCTCAGAGTAAAGGGAGAAGATGAGCAGGAAGGCCCAGAAGATGAGGTAAATGGCCGGCCATATCAGACTGATCTGTAAAGACAAAGCAGGAACTTATTACACTCATGTAGATAGTTGCAGTTTTAATACAGATACAGATCCATTTTTCATACTGTCCCACTCTGAATTGTGGCTCTACGGGTTTGAAACTGCAATAATTACTTAAGCAGTCATCAATTTCTGATATTACACCCATCGCACCAGAGAGCAGTTTTCAGAAGAAGGTTTACGGCTGCTTGAAGCAACATTACTGCACATTATTAGTCTCTCTCTCTCAATTTCTCCAGTAGATTTAAAAACTGCTTCCTAAAAAAGTTAGATGATAGTAATGTGAATACTTTTGGGCCAGTTTTTGTTTAAGAAACAGTTTTACCTGCAGATATAAAACTCTGCTGGCTTTGTGAACATTTGTAATCTGGCTTTAAAGCCAAGCATAGCACTGGGGAAGCTCTTCTCAAAGCGATAAACAATAGATTTAATGCAAGAAAAACATCATTTCTGGTACTTCTTTACTGCAATGCACTGTTTAAATACCTTCTTATATGTCTGTTTTCTGCTTTGTTTGTAGTATTTCTCTTTCTGCATCTGATATTTTTCCATATTTAAGTTTTTTATCTGTTGTGATTTGACAAAACATGGACCAAACACAGACGAACTGCAAAGAGAATGAACAGACTCATACTGACATTAACTAGGAGAGATATAATACAATACATATGTATTATAGTATGTATCCTTGTATATATAATCTGGTGCATAAAGTGCAAAATATACTGTTAAAAAAGAAGCTAAAATGAGGCCAAAACTCATAAAAACATAAACATGCCTTGATTGGGCGGTGCAAGTCGGGCTGTTTAAAACGCAGGACAATCTGTCCGGCGACAGTGACTCCGTAGAAGAGGTAGTTGATGAAGCCCACGTAGTTGATGAGAGTGTACATGTCGCTGGTGCACAGCATAAGCAGGGTGGACAGGCACTGAAAGGAAGAAAGGAGGGTCAGTTTGATAGTTTGTGGTATTTGTCTGCAGCTTCTTGTCTCGGTCTTGTAAAGAGTATCACAAAGAAGATGTAACATAAAAGGAGTGTAGTGGTGAGAGCTGGACTCACAGTGAAGAGCAGAGCAGGGATGGGAGTGCAGCGTTTCACGTGAATCATGGCCAGCAGACTGGGGAGGTGGCCCTCTCTGGCTCCAGCAAAGAACAATCTGTGAGAGACAGATGCAATGGGGGGAAAAATCAGTTAATGCACATACAGTATTTATGTCTACAGTTCATCCACATGTTATAGGATGAAAAAGATGAGGATGAAATAGGAGGAAAAAGTTTAAATTAGAGCACAAAGGAAGAACAATGAACATAGTAAATGAGAAAACATCTGAACTCCAGTCATAAGAAGAACTATTGTATGAATGATTGTGAGTTTAACATGCTTAAAAGGCTAATAAAGTTAATAATTATGAGATGCACAGCTGATGTTTCTTGTTTCACAAGAAAAATAAACATAATTTCAATCAGCAGTAATGTTTCCTCTTCTTCTTTC